AAATGATGACAGCTCTTAAAATGTGCAGCGCATTCTTCCTTGACTTTATGCAAGATGAACACTAGTGGTACTTTTGCCTTGCGAAATTTTTATTGAGCCCTAATTATTATGCGTGAAAATACCACACTGCTTCGCATTATTCTTCCCAGTTTTGACCTATTTTGCTTACATTTTGGGTTATTTTCGATATCAGTCCATTTACACACATTTAAAAGCTGCGATAGGACATTGATGCCAAATAGATGAAAGGCTGCGCAGTTCATATGGCCACATTTTTTCTTTAGATGGTTCATTTTTTGCCTGATTAAAGTGCAGACCTCATCTTAATTTTAATAAGTCCTGTACGTTACTTGTTGCTTATTTAGTGCGGATCTTGGGAATCTGTTGTTTTGACGTGGATTTATCCGATTTATTGGTAAGGAGGACTTATTATATCTGTTCGTTGCTGATTATCGACCCAGGGTGGCGTTATATAAATTTAAAATACTGGCCTTCAATTGCTAAATCAACAAACCATGAAACTATGGAACAACACAGAAATCACTTCTAATTAATCATAGGATTGACTTTGCTAAATTATAAATTTGTTAATTAAATCAGCAATATTTGCCTATTGCGAGAGTGCGTCTAATTTGCTGTGAATTGTTTTCCTATTCTCCCATGACGTGGTGTTTTGGTTCAAATCATTATAACTTCACATTACGTGTTTGCTGAAGTAATTATAATTGTTGATGTGTCTAGCATTTCGATTATGCGTATCTTATTTTCAGTGAAATAACATCCTATTTCTGTAGAACCACTGCTTGCTCCATCTCAATGAATTTTATCATTCCAAAAAATTCCCAATCTGGCTAAAACATTTTCCAATCTCATTTTAAATGAAATGCTTTAAAAGTTACCTTAAAAGTCAGATTTTTAAAAAAAGGTACTGTAATGGTCAGAAAAATTACAGCAAAACTGTTTTGTGTGTCTGACGGCTCTTTTTTATGGTGGACTACCGTGAAGTCATGTATCACTGTAAATATTCCAGTTTGGCGTGGCCTTCAAACAAAGTTAAACCCACTCCAGTTCTTCTCTGGACCTATAGAAGTCCACAAATAGGGTGTTTGGATTTCTCAAAAACCTAATGGCAAACTACGCTTGAAAATTGATGCTTTGCTTTCTGGGTATCAGGAAATTGCTTCCCAGGAAAAACTGCTAAAGGATCCAGAAAGTTCACTACTAATAGACCGTCTTTCCTGAAACCTGATCAAAATTCCGGAGCAGCTTGACAGTAAACCTGTGCTCTGTGTGTACGTGAAGTAAAATCACGGTTAATTTACTACAATCTGGTTGTCGCCATGCCGCCCTGTAACTGGTGCTGAAGGTGCATCAGTGCAACGACTGCATTGGTTAGCAGAAAAATTTACCTTACTACATGACAACGCAGAACTGGGCAGGGAAAAAATTGCCTAACGTTTTCTTTGTGCATGATCCGCTTGTCATCCTTAAATCCACTTCGCAGCAAGGAGATGGTTATCCCGTATTGGACCCTATTCGGGTCAGCACGATAGAAACGACTTCTTTAGAACTAAACTGAGGTGGCTTTGGTGTGTGAGTATGGTACGTTTGGAGACCAGGTGGTATTAAATTCACGCAATAGCTGTCTTTTTGGATATGTTTTTTCTTTACCCAGTTTTTCTCCTTCTTAACTTATGTCTCTTCTCGCAGATGCAGACCTACGGCTTTGAGGATCCGGATTTTGTGCCCAAGGACGTGTACGCAGACTTCCAAAAATCCTACGAGGTTGTTCTTAAACGTCGCTACGCTCGCTGGAAGTTGGTAATCGACCAAGACAGTCTAGTGCGAGGCTTTCAGCGTAAGGCTTACCCTTTTCGCTGTGCTTACGTGTTTCCCCCCCAGTGAAACGATTCTGCCGAAAGGGCGTGCCCGCAGAGTTCAGGAGCCATGTCTGGATGACCCTGTCGGGAGCCTACGAAGAGATGCGACAAAACCCAACCGTCTACCAAGTCGCCTCTAAAGCCGAGCCCCCTAAGAAAATCTTCACAGCCATCATGGCCGGTACGTGTTTCGCCTTGCTGTTCTCACTCACTCCTTGTCTGTAGATTTACCCAGAACATTCCCAGAAAATGCACACTTTTCCCAGGCACAAGGCAAAGGCGACAAGTTACAGGCTCTTCAACGCATCCTCGTGGCTTTTGCTGTCACCTTTCCCAACATTGGATATTGCCAGGTACTGCAATTACGCTGCATGCTCTTAAGATTCCTTTTTGGACGGGTTTAATTGTGTCCCAAACTCATTTAAAACCGGCTACATTGTTTTTTACACGCATTTTTTCTGTCAGTGCGTTTCTTTATACCTCTTGACTCCATGTCTCTCTTGCTTGGTTGTAATTCGAGGAGCATATGTGGGATTTTTCCTGCTTAACGGGATACTCAGCCGGTGCGTGCTAATCGAGCATCGCCATTTTTCAGTTTATCAAATAATTGTTAGAAAAACTAGCTTAGTTTTACCTGTGTGATTTATGTTGGCGTTGCTCTCATATCTTCAATAAGACAACAAATTTCCAGACTTGAAGTGTGGGACTTATCGTGCTGAAGAAAATTAGACGTCCTAGTTCATCGCCTAAGTTACTAGTAATCACCCTCCTCACTGTGAGAAAAGGCTCACGGGCCATGTTCATGGTCTCTGGGCTAGCTTTTCCCTTCGCTCACAAAAAAATGATGGCGCCTACTGTGTGTCCCAGTGCGCACCGGCTAGCAGGCAGGTTGTTGGCCAAGTTTCAACTCGCACAAGCATCAAGCAGGCTAATTTTAGTAGTGACATTTGTTGCCTTGTGTTAGGTGTTTGCGGCGGTGTGCACCGCTGTAACCCGTGGTTCTTTAAAGCTGTGAACCCGTTTGAACTCTCCGGTTGTGGGTGAATTGCAGGTGAAAGTGTGTACACAAGTGATGAAACCCGGCTTTCACGTGTGGGGTGAGTCACACACGTCACCGTTTGTTTACATAACTATCGTCGAAAGCAGGTTCGAACCAGGTTTGTGTCTCACCTCGTGCAAGTCTCAATAGGCAACGGCTATTTGTCATCCTAGCTAGCTATCTTGTCACACCTAAGGCTGTTTCGTCTAAATGCTCGTTTGTGAACCGAGATTTCAATACTTAGCCCTGGTAACGCACACACCATCCACTTGTCATTCTCGGGCATTACTGTGCGAGGACTGGCTGGTTGGTGTATCGATTTGACAGCAACTGAACTTTGACCCTAAACAGCTCGCTGGGTGTGCTGGCCATTTTGACAAGCCACCACGCCTGGGCGCTTCACCAAACACCCAGCGCTGTGGCTGTCTATTCACAAGTCCAAATTCCTCGCTTCTCCTAATTTCCTTTGGAGATATCATTTGGCCCCCTCTCTTTCCAAACAAGTGTATCGACTTCTTAGGCAATTTTTGGTTGATCACATCATTTCTATGTACCGTCGCGGTTGCCGTTTCATTTGGAGTGTTCTATTTATGACTAAGGTTACTCTCTGTCTTGAGTGTCATTCACTCGTAGTTGAATTTTTCATCTTTCACAGACTCTTGTCTTGGTTTTACCCCGTACACAGGGGCTTGTATGCACTGGTTTTCGATTGAATTTCATTGCTTTCTACTCCTGTGATTGCAGTGGTATTTTGGAAAAGCTTGCAAATTTTCCATGTTGTCACAAGTAACAAACTGAATATTTGACCACTGCTCCACACACTGAAAGCAGTTTGCAACGAACTCTCGTAAGCTCAGCGACTTCTGACAATCTACTGTTGCCTCATAAATTGGCCATCTTTAAGTGTTAACTGCCAGAAATGTCTTGCATATGTCCATCAGGATAGACACAATTTCGACGTATTACCAGGATGGGGGTTAATTTGAAACGTACTTCTTCCTTATAGGGCCTCAACTATGTCGCCGCAACCTTACTGCTGGCGTTGTCCGGTCCGTTGGAGGAGGTGGAGGAGAAGACCTTCTGGCTGCTCCACGCGCTCACACACAAAATCGTGCCCAACTACTACGGCAACAGGATGATCGATGTGCAGGTGGACTGCCTTGTTTTCGAAGAACTGCTCAGGTACGTCGTAGTTCCCTCAAAATCGGTAAAGTGTCCTTCACTGTCTCGTTTCTCGTCTCTGTTAATGTCACAGTTGCTACTGATGACCCCGAGCTCATCTGATTGGTCGGTAACTGGTGTTCTCCCCCCTCTCCCGCAGTACCATTATCACACCTTTGAATGTTTCCGTACTAAACCCTTTCCCACTGTGTACGCCAAATCTGCATAGGTTGATGCCATCTGATTACTGAATTAATCTGCCGCTCTATAGAATTCACGGCAACTCAGCAGGAAAAATCCGCACCGTGCAGCCATTGACTCGGGACGCCTGTTCAGTCGTTTCAATCTATTTTGGCTGTCGTTTAGCTGAATTTCACGTGTTCAACGTGCCTATCCAACTACACTGTGTCACAAGCAAGGCGATTGTTAGCATAAAATCGCTACTAGTCTTTCCTCTTACGGCAATTTCTGTCTGTTTGGTCTCTGCAATCCCTTATGACCTGCATCCGCCTTCCACGTTATGTCACTGTTCACGAAGTCGCATCATTTGTTTTTAATAAGGTTATCCTTTGATGTCTTCCTGTGGTTCCATCTCAGAGAAACTTGGTGTCAGTCAAGCAGGACGCGGTGATTTGATTTGGATCATCGTTTCCTCAAGCGTGACGTTGGTGAGCTTGTGTGTGGGCCCCCTGCTTTCTTCGCAAATGTAGGGATAAGCTTCTGCCTTCCGTCTTCATAACATGATTCACGTTTACTAATCCGGTTGTCGCATCCTTCGCCACTCCGATCTCATTTCGTGAAGAATGCCGAAATAAACTCGTTTAAAAGTAAAGGCGAACATACACAAGCTATTTCTTGAGCAAATGGTCTCAAGTAAAACTGCTTATGTTCGGTTATCCCCTTCGCGAATATTGTGATGCTGCCCTATGTTCCTGCTCATTAACGTTTAGCTATCGGTCGGTGGCTTTTACTTTAGTACCAATAGCAAAAACAGCATATTTCATTCATTGCCAAACCGTATTACGATAAAAACTCGCTGTTTGCAGCTGAAAGGGACCGTCTTGCGTCAAGATTTTCCTATGTTACTAATGTCCTTTTGCGGAAACGTTTATTCCATGTTAGTAAATTCTGTAGTGATTGCTTAAAATTATCTTAGATATGAAACCTTGATGCCAAGTTCGGAACCTGAAATCTTAGGGCACAATTTCTGTAACGGATCGTCCATAGCAGTCATCCCTTCCTATTTGACCTCTCCAATCTCTCAATGGCTTCTGAGTTTCGTTGTTCCAAAGCACAGCCCTGGGGATTTTATTGGTGCAATTTGCAAACGCTAATTGTCCTTCTTTTCCTTAAGTTTAGAATGAAAACCTATATCACTTCACTTTGATGGTCGTTTGAATTTGAGGCTATCGTAACTATAGCCAAACTTAGCTAGGTTGGGTTTACATCCTTGACCCATTGGCTCTTTCAATTCTACCAACTCTTTCCTGTGGCAACAACCCCAAGAATTTATCGCTGTTCGTGTTGAATGAGAAGAATAGCATCGTCCTTTGTTTGCGTCAGCAGATATGTGAACCCCAGTTCACCAAACATTTCAAAATCATTTTACAACTCATCGACAATTACATCAGGTCGAATGAACCATTTTGGGCCCAGTTGAAGGGGAAATTTCGACTACCCAGAGCTTACTTGGAAGCGCTTGCAATGTTGCATGAAATACTTACATATGCATTATTGGGCTTTTTTCTATAACAGAATGAAGGCCCCTCCCATTTACAACACGCTCAAAAGTGCCAACGTCGACTGCATTGTTCTCGCCACCAAGTGGTTCATCTGCTTGTTCACCGACGTCGTCCCCATCGAGGTAAGACTCTGACCTGGAAATGTGTTTATAGCGGCAGATCCCGCTCTGACTGCCATCTTCTCTGGTCATTGTAAACCCTATTTATCAAACCGTGTGTATTTTTCGCGCAAGGGAAAAGCGCGATTCATCGGTCAGTCGCCACTGAACCCTTTTCGGCCTTTTTTTTGATAAGTCTATCTTGATTCCTAGCATCGGTGCATAAAAACATGTTCCAGTTGTTAGCTTGCTGGATTAAGGCCAGATATGGTGCAAGCGTTCGTGCTTTTGATTGGTCAGATTGCAGTTCCAGTTCCGCCTTATAAGAAGGGGCAATTCTGCGAAATAGTCATTGTCACCTCTATCTTTGAAGAGACGGGTTTATTTTGCGTGTTCTCTCTTAATTAACTACCATATCGAGCCTCTATCCCTACCAAGGCAGACATCTCTTTAGGTAATTGGGCTTGTCCGTTGTACGAAATCTTGTAAAATAAGGCCTCTGTTTGTTCGTGATCTAATGGAAGGCACGTTTGTCATGCGCCACCTTTTTAGCGTAATTTTAAGTCGTGACGTGAAGCAGAGGATCGTGGAACCCCAGAGACGCCTTATTGTAATTGAACTGGTCCATTCACCAATGCATGGTGAAACGTTTTCTGAATCTTCGCGATCACTGTTTGGAGGTGCTTTCGCTAAAGTCCGGTGCTTATTCTAACAGATAGTCGATCATGTTACCAGACATCACTTACGAAAAACCCTTCAACTTCCGATTTGCCTTAGCCGTAGGTGCAATACTAACCTGTTAGCTCACATTCACGACATTTGTTTAAATCTTACTTCCTCACTCACAGAGGTACTGGGCGATTTAAAATCAGGAATTTGACCTCATTAAAAGTGGTTGCAGTCTGAAGATGCATCATGGAAACTTGTTTATTACCTCAACTGTCGTGCGTCTTACTGTCATTACCTGAACCACCCTGCATGTAGAAATTTACGCACGGCAAGCTCACGACATTGATATTTTCTTGAGAAAATAAACGAGATATTGCCGAATTTCACCCCTCGGGTTGAAATTTAGTTTGCTAGCTCTTGTGCGTTGCTTGGAGTCCTGTTAATTTACTTTTAACTGTCCCCAACTCACCTGGGCTTATGTGGAGCAGTGCTGTGTGAAAACTGCACACAAAAATGTTTTCTTCTAGTACTCTCCTGATTGTACGCATCAGACTTCTAGGGTATGTCCTTTGATTGGTGGATCCCAGCACATTTGATTGTGTTCCTACTTATTTAGCCCATCTATTTCCAGTAAGGCGTTTTTTTTACATAATGCGATTTCGAGCAACTGAAAAAGCACAAGCGACTTAGTGCCTTTGATTTCCTAATCGTGTTTCTGAACGTCGACGCTTAACTTCATGTCAGTTTCCAAGATGGCGCCACTGAGTGAAATTTCGATGCTTTAAATTCGCAGTAAATTTGACTGAAGTCGATGTTAGTCGTGTGGTCAGGACAAGTTGTTCGCCTTGGCTACGCGCCAACTTACTGCCTCCGACGTTGTCGGTTGTCGCTGGTCGTGTGTGTTTTTGGGGCATTACACTTGTCACAGTCATCAATCATCAGAACTCAGTTTTCGCGCACGATTTGGGGAAGCTGGTATCATGGGTGACTGTTTTCTCAGTTGGCGCACTTCGTACGACTTGTTTTTTAAAAGCTGTCCTCCAATTGTAGTCTTTTGAACTCAATTTAGGTGTTGTACTAGGAAAAATGTCGCTGGAGAACCCGCAAATTAGTGGAATCGGTCGTCAACTAAACACGTACCTTTAAGCCGTCACAGCCGAACGTAGTCTTGCGGGTTTAAGCGCACATTTGAGTATGAGTGTGTTTAATTGGGCTGCAGCGTTTAAAACATTGTAACCAATGAGTTGAGCCTCTGTGGTATCTGCTTTTTCACTGGCGGAAAGAGGTGCGTGTCTCAGACTAGTGAACATTGATTTAACGTAGAACGACAGCCCAAATTATCAACAAACCATTTCTCACCCAAAATATCCTAAGGTGATTGAGAGGTTGCCAATTCGCCATACTGCTGATATCATCAACTGCTGGGAAGTGCAAGCGATCCTAGAGAAAGAGTGTTGTGTTCTTTATGTGTTTTTTAAACGCACCAGTCTAGAACGAGCTCTTCTTGGTCGGTGTCAATTTTTCTCCGATTTAAAATGCTCCCCAAACCACCTGGGCTCGTTTTTTTCCAAAATAATGTGCTAAACGTCTCGATTAAATGCGGATTTAAAATGAGTGAGTTAATTAATTAAACCTGCAGAGTAGCATTCCACAGTTTTATTATATCCTTCGAAAACCTAGCCAATGATCTTAGTAAAGTAACTGTGGCTTTTGGTGCTACTGGTGTCTCTTTAAGATGCTGTTCAACTGTCACCTTTTCGATGTGGGCGGTTGCATCAAAGACGTCGAATTTTGAATAGATTAGGAATTCAGTTAAGTGGGTGTATATTGTGTCGTCGAGTTCGTGAGGTAGTCAGCCTCGTTTAGAACATCGCTTGGCAGGTCCGACGCGGCCTGCTGATTTCTGGAGGTCGTCAGGGCCAATGGCTCCGTCTTAACCGCCAACTTCCAACAACTCATGCTTTAAACCCTGCACTCAGGTTGCTTCTGTTAGCACTGGGATTCATCCCAACTAGAATTAATCAACGTTTTCTCGTGGTACGGGCTCACATGGTAATGCATATTCAATTTGTTCTTTGTTGATTACACACAGCTGCTTCGGATTAGTCTAGTTTTCATTCCGACTCACGCATAAATTTCATTTTTGTGCATTTTACAGAACCGTAGCTGATTCTAAATGTAAGCTGTAACCCCAAACTGCATAGATTTATCATTTCTTGGGTTATTCTTCACGTTAGTCCGAAACATTTGTGGTGGTTCAGTAATTTTTCGATGGATAAGCATGCTTGACACGGCGTACTTGTCAGGACACGAAAATGCGTTATCGTTCACTTGTAGACGGTGCTACGAATATTTGACTGTCTCTTCTACGAGGGCGACAAGATCCTATTCCGTGCTTGCATCGCCTTAGCGAAGCTTCACACCAAGGAGATCGTCGCCTGTCAGCAGTTTCCAGACGTTGTTCTCACCTTTCGCGACATAACTCAAGACAAACAAACTCTCTACTGTCACGAATTCCTCAAGGTAAGACAAAGGACTACTTTTACCGTTTAAATCAACATTCTTGGCTCCCCACTGCCATTTTGCTGTATGTTTTTTTTCGCGGAAACAGATTTTAATAATTCAAATTATCAGTATGGGAAAGTGTAATCGTTGAGTGACAGTCAATTTCGCTTACATTTGGAAGCAGCATGCGTATTTTGCCAAAGGATGTCTGTTAACACGCACTCTCTGTGATGCATAGCCTAGAGCTTTACCCGAAATTTTGACCCTACTAACTGATCAACAATTTAATCATCTAGAAATACGCTGAGATTTATTTCAGTAGTAACATGAGGCCTTTTAGTTGCGATTCTGTGGAATCAGTATTCCACTGATGACCAAAATTAACTATCACTGCAAATTGACATGCACGCCGAATCGTCGCAAGTACGTGTACTTCTTCGGGCGGGATATTTAAACCTTAAATTTAACTCGTAAATACTCCAAATGGCAGTATCCACACCGTCGTTGAAAATACAAATCTAGCGTCCTGGCTTGTTAAAGCAACAGCGCTCTTCCAAGTTGTAGCTACTTCGTGAGTTCTTGCCCCATAGTCTCCTAAAAATACCGCCACACTGGGAGTAACTTGTTGAAATATGGGTATTAACTGTGGTTCCGAATCCATTTCCAGAACATGTACTTTTTACGACAGGGTGGGAGTTAACTGAGATAATCTGGATGGAATTTGGCTGATGAGGAGGCACTGGTTTGACTTGTTGGCATTTGTATACACTTGGGTCTGCGTTCAAGCACCGGTTAGTTAAAGTGTCAATTGAAAATATCGCGCAGTTTCCAGACAGTCATTAGTATGCACCACCTTGCTTCGTGAACCACAGTCGTGTGCAGCTGTGCACAACTGATTCCAATTCGGCGCTAACTTAGACCAATGGTTCGGCGTTTGCCGCATCATTTTCTCGATTCTTTCAGGGAAAAATTATTCAATAAATGGTTTAGACTAATGATAGTTTCGATTTCCCCGGAGCCAGTCTCGGCTTCGGGCCTAACTCTAGATGTTTTGGAGCATAACTATCTTCCGCTATTTCAACCACCCTGGCCACAACCGACAGCACCTCGACTCGGCATCATGCAGCCGAAATTGGTGGGTACTTGGATGCCTTAAATTTGATTTATTCATGAGGCAAATTCAGCACTCGACGCTTTGGATTGTTAGGACTGCATAATAACGATTAGTGCAAATTTCGCTCTGGAAATCACGCTCCAGCCTCGTGACTTCCGGAAGTGAACTCCTCGTTTCTCGTACTCGACACCCACGTGCTCAACACCGCCTCAAGTTCCTCACTGGTCACACGGCTTTGAGTCGATATCAGGTGAAAACCTTAAAAACGACGAAACATTCAGGCCCACTAGTCCTTTCTTTGATCTATCTTGGCTACAGCGTTTGGTGTCCTTCTAAGTGAATCAGTGTTTTGACGACGCCTTTGGTAGTGCGTTGTTCCCAATACCGTTGAAACAATCCGAATTTACGTCACAGTAGGCTCAATTAGAGGCTTTCGGTCCGCTAAATCTGCCTAGAAGTTGCTCAACACGCAGCGTTTAAACGGTTATTGTCCTGGCCCCTTGCCTTGCTGAATCGTCTCTTTTCATCTCAAGTCACGACCTCGACGCTGCGCAGTAAAAGCCAATGTCTTGGTGTCGGACAGACTTTGTACTGATGCTTCAACCGCTAAAATTAACCCTTTTCCTCAATTTAGGCAATGTTTACCTTGCCGGGTTCCCTCTCGAAAGCCCGAATCCGCAAACTTCGAGCCAAATGTCTCACCCAGGTGATGGCTACGATGGACGAACTGGACGCTCGGGAGCGAGAATACAAGGCGAAGGTCACTGCACAGCAAAAAGTCGACACCTCCAACACCGAGAACGTCGATGATGGGGAGTACGACTCAGACGACGATGCGTCGAAGACGCCTCCTCAGGACGGAGATGACGTTGAGTCCTCGTCGTCAGTGGATATTCGAAAGGCTTGTGTTAACAACAGTGACAGCTAACGAAATGACCTCCATGTCTTATTTATGAAACCATTTGTTTTGCTTTTTGTTCTCCCGTTTCTGGTGTTTTGTTTCAGTGTAGAAATTTCCATCAGGTGGGGCACTGTTGCAAGCCATTACGATTTTTTTTATTTGTATTTTGGTTAGGTCCAGTGTTGTCTTTTGATTTAATTCAAACAAATCTAGCTTTTTTTCACTGCCGACTTTTATATTAACATGTTACAATTAACTACCACAATAACCGGTGTAAGCTAAAGTGAGTTGAACGGGCCGGTGATGGCAAAAATATCGGATCTGGAATTTCTTAATTGGAAAACTTGTCGGATTTCGTAGCCCCCGTAAACACTACTTGTAATTTGGGGCACTGCTATTTTAGTCAGCTGGCTTTGTAGGTCTTTGTGGTCTTTTGTGGTTTTGAAGGAGTCGGACACAAGGTTTCACAGAACCGAAAG